TTTGCGATCACCGATGTCTGGTAGTATTTGAATTTTATTTATTTTTCTATAAATCCAAATCGTTTGAAATTTTAGGCGTGTATTTATAAAAAATTGATGAATCTTCAAAAAATATTAAAAAAATATTTTACATCAAATAAATTGACCAAAATATCCACGAAAAGTTTCGATGGGTATTTTGATCATTTTATTTTTTGCGAATAATTTTTTTTATATTTTTATTAGATACACCTTGATGAGAAGAACTCATACTTAGAATTTCAAATGATTTGGATTTGTAGAAAAAACAATAAAATTCAAGCACTACCGGACATTCGTGATCGTTAGATCGGATTGCGCTCATATGTTTATAGAAACTAGTGGGCTAATCCTAGTTTTTTCCTATATGTAATATGTTTATGTAAGCTAGTGGGATAATCTTAGCTTTTTCCTATATATAATATGTTTACGTGAGTTAATGGGTTAATCCCAGCTTTTTCTTATACATGTGTATTGTAACAATCCTAAACTTTCAAAAAAAAAAAAGAAGAAAAGAAACTTTTAATACATGATGATTCGTTTGAACATGATGGTCCTTAGGGACCATCACTACTTTTAAAAGCTTTTCGTTTAAAAGCTTTGTTGCGTCCTTCCTCTTGGATTAAGAATTTTAGGAAATTTAAAATCTTTTTCAATAGTCAGGTACACAAATTTAGAGGACTAAATTTCTTTAAGGGGGGGAAAAATGTAAAAATCCTAAACTTTCAAAAAAAAAAAAAAAAAAAACAATTTAATATATGATGATTCGTTTGAACATGATGGTCCTAACGACCATCGCTACTTTTAAAAGCTTTGTTGCTTCCTTCCTCTTGCTACGTCGATTGAAGGACATGGGCTTTAGGCGTTTAAAGCGTAAGCTAACGCTCACACCTGTAACAAAATAAAAGAATAAAATAAGATGTTAGTAGAAATTAAATTCAGAGAGGTGAGGACTCTTACCCTAGAAAACTTATGAGATTTTTCTCTCTCTGGTCGAAACAAAGTGAACTTTTCTCTCTAACCGAATTTTTATCAAAAGCTCCCT